GTAATTGTCAGTTTAAAAAGCAAGTGTTGAAATCCTCGTAGTATGAAATGGAGGTTGTTCAGATGGTATTAATATTTTGATTTTTCACTAAGGATATTACAAATGCACTTGTTGCTAAAATCTGTCTTCTGCAGTGTATTACTCAAAGGAAATAAAGAAGACTAGAAAGTATGTGGCAACAGTCTGATGTGAACACATAACCACAATTTTTATTTTCTATATTAAACTCCTCCCATTGTTGCGAAACAAGGATTTTGCAGCCCTTTGATTATTTGATTTGTCTGTGAGTGATTATGTAAAGGAAAAATAAAAACAGGTCCCAAGACCCCCACTACCCCCCGGTACACCACAAATCTGGTGATTGTTTACTGATGTTTAAACCCTGCTTTTAAGAAATGTTTTTTTTTTAAAAATGCACATTAAGACCTAAAGTTTTCAAAACTAGAAACTTCGGATGTGCGAATGCAAAAGGCTGTTAGAAAAATCTTACACCATAAGCCGGGTGGGGGAGAAAGATTATCAAAAGTACAAGGTATTTCAGGGTCAGGGAGGCTGTATGGTTTGTTTTTTTGTTTAGTTTGTTTGTGTGGTTTTGTTTTTTTTTTTTTTGTTTTTGGGTTTTTTTTTTTTGGGGGGGGGGGCGTGTGTGGTTTTTTTGTTTTTTTGTTTTTTTTTTTTTTTTTTTATTAAGAAACTGTGCTGTTTTCCAAAATATCCCTCCAAGAGGCTGTGACTCCCGAGGCAGGCTGGGGCCGCGCTGCAGCAGAGGGCAGTGGCAGCACACGCGAGTTCCGTGGTGTTACAGCTCTAAAGCTCCCGGGCTGTCAACAAGGGGTTTATCTCCATAAAAATACTCTAAATCTCTTGTTTTGAATAGAGATGAAGGGTGCGCCTTTGACATGCAGTGGATGTTCCCAAGATGTTCAGGGTTTCATGCAAACCGTGGGGTTTATTCCAGGCTATTTCCAATAACCCAAAGGATTTTTGAAAAGAATTTGTATTAGCAAATAACCAGATGTAATGGCTGCGGAGCTTGTGATTGCAATTCACCTTCTCTCTTTGGGACTGAAATCTCCAAAATTGTGCGTTGGGTTAATATTTCTTAACTGTTTCAGTCTGCAGATCTGTACTGGTTACTTTAGTATTAAAAAAATGTGTTTCAACATCGCTCGCTGCAGATGTAACCAGGAAATGTGGTGAGCTGCAATAACAAGGTGAGGGGTTTTGTAGTTTTTGGTTCACGTTTCACTTGTACTGTGTGGTCAGCGGTGCCCCCAAAATCTTCTGAAATTGCTGCTGCTTGTGTGCTTATTTCCTTGTCTCACCTCAGTTTTTACCGAGGCACTCATGAAACAGCCCAGGCTTTGTGAAGTTTTGTGGGGAGTTATTTTCTTGCATATCATCAGCAGATTAAACATTTGAGGAAATGTTCTTTATTGTGAGTAGGAAATGCTCTTTATTACGAGTAGGAAATGTTGTTTATTATGAGTAGGAAATGTTCTTTATTATGAGTAGAAGGAAAAGAAGCTGCAGATGAACCCAGGTGGTCACAGTCCAGGCTGCCCCAGAACAGGAGAGCAATGAGAGAGAATAAACAGGGGTTCACAGTGCCCAAATATTGGTTGTGTTTGGGTAGATCTATAAATGCCTGCTTTCACTCCAGTGACTCCGGATCCCCTGTTAAAGCATCTGCTGGAGCAGCCGCCGTACAATGCCGAGGCAGCACCGGACCGGAGCATCTTCATCTCGTCCCCGCAGGAGGGCAGGACGGACGCCGCAGCGGTTTCTTGGCCAACTCCACCCCACAGCATCATCCTCCAGCAGAGACGGAGCCCAGACGGGAGGGGAAATGTAAAGGAGGCAGCAAAGCAAGAGGATGGATGGTTCCCCCAAACCCGAGCACGGCCGTGCCACTGCCGGCCCGCTGCCCCTCGGGAGCAGCTCACAGGCTGCTGGGCTTCTCCGTTAGCTCACGCCGTACGTGATTACAGCCCAGTCTCTACATCTTTCCTGTTGCCCCCAGGTTTGCTTCCTTATTTCCCTTGTACTCCCTCTGTTCCGAAGCAGGAGGCAAAGCCAGGCAGTACCAGGAATTGGCACTGCGGTTTTGAGTCTCTCGCCCTGTTCTTCGCTCTGCCCCTGCTCGGATTCGGCTCTGCTATTACTGAGCTACTATTTGAATAGGGAATAAAGGGGAATTTAGCTGAAGTTGAAAATCAAGACATGCTGTCTGCCTGTTCAATTAGAAGGGCATAGTGCAATCTGTGTTTCTTCCTATTCATTGGCTATTACATTAAAAGCCTTCTCTCCTAATATATACTTACATTGCAGCCTGCTTTATGTGGCTTTTACCACATATGAAATGGAGACGTTATAATCAAGGCGGTAATAACACTGAATGATTAAAAGTAACTTCTGATTGTTTTGGCTTTGGTCAAATGTATGACCTGAAACTGCTGACTCGAAACAAAATGAGGTAGATAAAAAGTCTTGTTACGGACTGTGCTCATCCCTGAGCAAAACTGTGCAGCGTGTATGACTTGTACAGTAAAACCATACCAGTGTATATTAAAAAAAAAAATAAAAAATCAAATCTTTGTAAAGCAGCGGGGTTGATGGAGAAGTCAGCCCAAACCATCCTTCAGGGATTAATTTCCCATAGGGACCTTTGTCGAGATTACAAAATACTGAATTTTTCTGAGATCTGGAAATCATTTTTATGCCAGTACGTGAGATTTTAAAATGAGTTGATTCAACTTTCTGGTACTTGGAGTGAACAGCACCTTCTGAGGCCGTGAGTCAGGGATGTGGAGCGGTGTGGTTTTGGGGTGGCAGCCTGTGTGGGGGCACAATGCTTCACCACTGTTGGCCCTCGTTATTCAGGGAAATTAGGAAACTGGGGCCTGCAGCATCTTTCAACTGATGAAATAAGCTTTCTGCAAATACAGCAAATTCACTGATCCGGAGTGAATCAGAGAAGGAAGGAAAAAAAAAAAAAGGTTTTTTTTCGGAATTGCCCATGTTGGTGGCAGCACAAGAGCCTTTTTGGGCACGATGTGCCCAAATTGCCCTGAATTGATTCGTTCTCAGCAGGGTAGAAGTGCCAGGTCCAAATGATGGACCATATGTTGTCGGTTCACATTCGCAGTTTGTTTTGAAGTAAATAGAAATTCTTTGTAAATACAGCTGGGAGAATGTGGCCAGTGGGGAAGAGCAGCCAGAGCGGGTGTTGTGGCTGTACCAGACTGCAGGACTGAGGTGGACTGGTGAGGGCTGGCTCCCCTGTGTATCAGCTACAACTCGATTTAAAAGATGCAGACCAGAAACGGTGCTGAAGATACACCCCGAGTGTCAAGAATCTGCTACTTCTCAAAAAAATAATCAGAAAAATGGTGTAGGAGATAAAATCAGCAGCTACCTCTTGGAGCTGACTTCAGAGGGGTTGTTTTCTTTGCTCACTGGAGTTGCTCTCCTAGCTGCCAATATTTGCTGCTTCGCTCACGCGCTGTTGAACAAGTTTGATAAATGTCATTCTGCTTTTTGAGCACTGCTGGGGTTTAAACAAGCTGCTCAGTGGCAGAATATCCCATAAGCTCCTTCCTTGCAAACAGTAAATAAAAGAGGTTGGTGTTTTGCTCAAAGAAATAAATATTGACTGTTTAGAAGAATGAAAGGACTTTCTTCCCAAGAACTTTGGAGAGAGGATTAGACAGTGGATTTGCAAAAATCATAGCTGCTTTGCTTGGATATGCCAAACCCAGCAGATGGGTGCTCCCCTGCCTGTGTGCTGGGCCACTGCTGGGGTCCCCTCCAAAGGGGGACACCCCGGGCTGGGGCAGGGTCACCCCAGGAACATGCCACCAAACGTGCTGACCCCGTGGTGCTGCCGGGTGGGGACCCCAAGGGACTTGCGTGGGGGGGTGATGCCTGGCCCAGCTCACCCGCTGCGGGCTGGGGGCTGCTGCAACAGAGGGGCTGTAATACACTCACGTCGTTGCTCATGATATCGGTTCATTTTTTTTCCTGTTTGTTTACTCGGAAGGAACTTTCAGCTTGTCTTTTACTCAATCATTTCCTCACATGGTGAATAAAACCGTGTTTCAACAGTGGACGCAAGCACAGAGATTGATACGAGAGCTGGGGCTTTTGGGGCATCGGCCGCGTGGTGGAAGAGGTGAGCCTTGCTGAGGTGTCTCACTAAGTTTTTATTTTCCTTATTCTCTCTAACTCCCTCTGTGGTGCTGGAGCAGCAGGGCTGAACCGTGGGTGTGCGTGGGGAATGTCAGCGCTGGGAGAGCTTTGGGAACAAACCGCAGAGAGTGATAAATCTCCCGTTTCCCAGCAAAGACCCAGCTCTGGAAAAAAGGGGGGATGCTATGGGGCTTGCTCAGCCCCACTGCCAGACCTGGGGGACCTCCCCTTTGCCGTGGAGTCTGGCGGAGCTGTCTCTGCCCTGGAGCAGCACGACCTGCTGTGGGATTTTCCCGTGGGGAGCGGGGAAACGGCTGACCTGGCAGCCGAGAGGAGACAGCTGGCTTTAGTCCCTCGCAGAAAAATCCCTGTCTTGAATTCCCCCCTCCCTGACCACCGGATCCCCTCACCCCAAGGCCTTGCAGCCCCCCCTTGGCAGCGGGGAAGATGCTCCCGTGGCCCCGGGACCCCGCTGGGCTGGGAGCTCTGCCTGGGAGCAGACTGCAGGGAAAAGCAAAGCAAAACCTTTTATATGATCATCCGCTTGCACTCCTCCTCCTCTCCCCCTCCCCGGGTGTTGTGTTACAGCCTTTGGGAGGATGGTCCTAATTTGCTGAGCCCCAATGACTATCTTCAAACTGCTGAGATCCCAAGTGACACCCCCTCTGCTCCTTGCTCCTGCCTCCTTTTCGCGTTGGGTTCCCCCCCCCCCCCCCCCCTTTTTTTTTTTTCTTCTTCTTTTCGTTATTACTACAGGCCCCTTGCCAAACAGGATGATCCAGAGTTGTCCTCTTTGCCTGGAGAGCATAAATACCACTGGGGAGCTCTGTGAGATTGCAGTTGGTACGAGCTGCTGAGCTGAGACCTTGCATTCCTCACACCTCCTAAAGCTTATTTCATCCTTTTTCTCTTCTTCCTAGTTTAAATATTTCAGATATATAATTTATTTTCCACAAGCAGGCTTGGAGGAGCTACAATTTCCTGGGGACTTGGAAGTACTCGGCGAGGTAAGCGTAAGCTTTGGTCCCTGCTTCTGAAATGTGGTTTGGGGGGAGTGGGTGTGTTTGCAAGAAATGTCTCTAAAGAAGGTACAATTCTAGTAACTTCTCCAAAAAGTTGCCTATGTGGTATAAAACAGCACAATACTGTCTGAGCTTCCCTTATATGTGCTTTGCAGAGGTTAATGCAAGATTAATAAACATTAATCTTGATTGAATGGGAGGAGTTTGCAAGTACAGGAGTAGATTTCTACACAAATAGAAAATATCCAGGGGATGCTGTAGCAGACTCTAATAGCTGACTACCCACAGGCACACCTAGTCTGCTCCGGCAAGCTTGTGTTTATGCAACTCTGCTCTAAAATCCTGTCTAAGAGGAATTTCACAGTGTCACCACATGTTGTGTCTGTTACCAGTGGGTTTTCCATGTGGTTTTGTGTAGAAGCTCACCCACTTCAGCTCTGTGGGAGTGGATTGTAGTGGAACATCCAGATGTTTTGGCCCATGGCCTTGAAGATGCTGAATGCATAGTGTGTTCTGTGCAGACAACATTATGTCCAATGTCAAGGAAGTTAACATCCCACTTGTTTTGAAGCCAACACAACTCTTCAAAGCTTGAAATGTGTGCATCTCAGTTAAGTAGATGACCTGATGTTTCATGCGTTATGTTGTGGCTTTATCACGGGTTTTCTTTGCACAGGTTAGAAGCTGATCCCAGGCTAACTCAGGTTAAAAGCTGATCCCAGATTAACTTGCTTCTGCTTCGCTGTTTTAGATGCTTTGCTAGTATCCCCTGCTAACTCTTGCATTTTCCTGCCTTGTCAGCTTGTTCCATGTATAACTCTGCAGGTCCCGGGATGTTTTAGCTGCAAATGTCACCCATTACCAAGGAGTAGACACCCACTCATGTATTTTACCCGAGAGGCAGTTAAAGATCAATACCCGCAAGGAATAAGGTGAAGCGAGGACATAATGAAGTACAGAAGTCTGCCTGCATGTGGCTTTAGCAGGCAGTGCTGCATGCCAGGCTTCAAACGCTACCAGCTCTTCTGCTTTCTGTGAAATGCAGACACCATCCATTAGCTGGGGAAATAGCTTTCTAAAAATAATCTTTTCCAAAGTCCGGTGCTGCTTTTTAACTTCCTCAGACCCCAGAAGAAGGCCTCCCCTTTGTCCCCAGTTTGGACAGGCTTTACAGCATATTAAGGAGTTGGTTTCTGCTGACTCACTCGTTTCTGATTGCTCCCAGATGTTTACCTGGCACCAGTGTCAAGGGCCTGATGTGTTTAAAGGGAGGCTGTGCTAATGTTCCTCTTGAACCTTTGAAAACAACAGCAGAGACTTCCTCAGCTGACTGTCAGCTGATAATTTTCTCCAAATAATGTCAAATCCCAACTCAAAGGCAATATGATTTCAATCTTTCCTGATGAGGAGTTCCTGATGCAGCCCAGAGTCATTGCCCCAGCTCTGCAGGGCGCTCGGGCTGGCTGAGCTTTAACACGTGTCCGAGTGTTTTGTTGCACCTGAGCACGAGGATATTAATGGTTGGACATCTGAAATCGATGAGTGCTTGCTGAAACATGAGCATCTTTTTGCTGCTTTCAATTAATCTGACCAGGGAGCTCTTTGCTCCCTGTCTGATCACTTCATCCTTCCTTTGGACGCTCAGCGCTCCACACCTTGAGCCCAAGCAGAGGAAGGGACCTACACACCCCAGGTGAGAAAGAAGATAGTGCCAAAGTGACCTAATTTTAGAGAGGTGCTAGTATACTATTGCTCGCAAATGGGATACAGGGAAGAACATCCTGAGGAATAATGCACCATCTGTTGCAAGGTTTTGGCTGGATCACAAAACCAGACATGTTGGCTTCATTGCGTAGCCGTGAGTGGGGCAGCTCCTCGGGGCTTTCAGATGTTACAGCTGATTTTTTTCGAGCTGCCCTTTCTGTAAGTTCAGTGTTTGCCTTCAATGGGTGGTGGATACGGGCTCCTATTTAGCAAAGGGCACCCGGCCAAATGAAGGGGTACAACTGCAGAGTATATTAACTGTCTGTTCCTGCCTGCTCTACCTACAGGGCAGGCTGCAGTTAAAATTCCCTGTGCTAAATGGCCACATTGTAAACGGCTGTGGCAGAGCATCTATTTTTAAATTCTTAGGGAAGTGCCTCAAAGTAGGAATTGTTCCCTGAATTTGGGTCAGACAGTCTACAAAAGCAACAGATCATTTCGCCTCCCCTACCGCTCTGTAGCTGGGTTAGAAAGTTGGGCTCCTGCTTGGGGCATGTTGGCAAATGCCAACAAACAGGGCTGAGAAAAGGATGAGGTTAAAGCAATATTTGTTCCGATGCCACCAAACGTCCTGTCTTTCAGGTGTGCCTGGAGCTGGGGACAAGACGTGTGTGTTTGACTTGCTCTGCAGAGCAGGAAATAATGAGAAGCCATTACCTAAACTGAGCAAATTACATTCCTGCATTGTTCTACCGAGGCAAAGGCTTAATGCTCTGCCTGGAGAGAGACTGGGGGCAGCTGGTTTTCATCTGCCTTTACACAGTTACAAGTAAGAAGCCTCCAACAGGGACTTTGCCTCTTTTGTGTAGACAGCCAACAAGTTTTCGGGGGTTCTCAACGGCCTCAGAGGTTTTTGAGGGTCCCCACCTGTGCGAAGCACCTTGTGCTTGCCACTGTCCTCTGCAGAGGCTGTTTTGCTGGGTCTGGGGAACAGGGGTTTGGGACTTTGTGCTCAAGCATTGCTTTTCCAGCTGGGAGCTAGAAGGTGCTTCCCTGCCTTGGATGGTTTCCAACTTGTCCAGTCTCAGTGTATCCAAACCCCATGTCACTGGGCTGAGTCTTCTCGAATAATTCCTGCTAATCCAGGGTCTGTCCCTTGACGCTGTGTAAGAACGTTTTCAGTGTGTCTTTTAACAGTGCTGTCAAAAACAGATCCTCACCTGGAGTTGAAGACAAGGATTACGAAGCTTCCTTTCAAAATTTAGCCCTTAGGAGAGAGGATGCTGTGCTTGCAGTGTCTGCACAGATGCATGTTATCCTGATGGATTATTCTGCTCTAGTGGCTCTTAGATCCTGCCTAAAGAGTGGTAGGTGCTGCAGAGCCATGCAGCAGCACACATTGCCTTCCCTGAGTAGCTCATGATCTAAATAAATTCAGCCGAGTTGCACAAGGCTCATTAGGTGGAAAAGTCAGGGCAGGGGGGAGAGGAAGGGAGGAAGAGTCTGGAAATGGCAGGTGGAGGGGGAGCACCGTGGAGCAAGGGAGGGGATGGGGATTAAATGAAGCCGTTCAAACTTAGCCATGATCAAATGGAGACCATCTCTCCGAGCCCTCGGTGCTGATAGCTAAGGAACACCTAATCTTCTGGCTGGGGGAGGATGGGTGCTCCAGCTCCACTCCTAATCTGCCATAATTCATATTGCTGGCCGCGCTCCCGCCCGCCGTAAAGCGATGCGTCAGCGAGAACACCCCGGTGCGTCATTCGCCAGCCGGGATTTTGGTTGCTCGACGTTACACTGACATTTCCCATAAACAGCCGCTTTCACGGAGTCTGGCAGCTGCTCTGCTGGAGTCTATTGGCAGAGCAGGGCCTCCGAAATAGCTCTTGCTGATGTCTGACCCCTGCGATCTGGCTTGCTGGGGATTTTACTTTCCCTTTTATTCATATTTGTTCTCCACTTCAACAGATGCTCTTTGGGTGAATAGCTTCAAATGTCTTCCCTTCCTGCATGTGAAGGGATGGAGCTGGGATTACTCAGAGCTGCTAGGAATTGCTGCGTGACACTTGCATCCCAACATCTTTGGAGGAGAAGGCATCCACCACTGTGCTTGGCTAACGCTCGCTCCCAAAGCAACATGAGTGGAGTTCCCCTGTGTAATAAACCGAGTTCCCACCACTTATGGTGGTGTTCAGGTCTTCCTGTCGTTGGGGTAAATGGTAATTTCTTAGTCTGTAGGCATTGCTCTTTTCCAAGCAAAATCTGGGTTGTGTGGTTTCATCGTTGGGGGACACATATACTGAGAGCTTCTCTGGCACTGCTCTGACTGCCTGTTTTCTCCCCAAAATCCAGACCCGTGCTGAGCCACAGGAGTCTCTGCAAGAAAACCTACTGTCATCTTCGTCTCCACTTCTGCTGTCTGTAGAAGAGGAGGCAGCATGAATCCTGCCCTGCCTTGGATCCTTCCTCTTGGATGTGTTCTGCTCCTGACAACAGCAGCCAAATGCTTTATCTTGCCCAACTCAAGTCACCTGGAGAGCATTCTGAGTAAATATCAGGATGGGGAAACTCACTCCAGATCCAAGAGAGCCATTTTATTCTCAGACAGACAGGAGATACTGATGCTCCACAATAAATTGAGAGGTCAAGTGTACCCAGCAGCCTCTAATATGGAATATATGGTGAGTCTAGATCCTGATATCCAGCTTTATTATTACTTTTTTTTTTTTTTTTAAAAAAAAAAAAAAAAAGAAAAAAGAAAAAAACTACTTTATTTTCATTTTCCTTATGGTGCAAAAGTTGTAGCAAATTTCCTCTATAGTAAGTTTTTCTCAAGAGGTTTCCTGGAGCATTTTCATTCCAGAGTGAATGGTGCTTTAGATCATTGGACTGTTTTGGTTGGAAAGGGCCACTAATGGGTCATCGAGTCTATCCGCTGCATAGTTTCAGGACTGGTTCCATTATTCATAAACTAGTGTCTAGCCCAGCCCTGGATGCATCTCCAGTGATGGTAATTCCACAGCCTGCCTCAGCAGGTTCTTCCATTACCTTAATGTCATAAAAACCTCAATTTTCCCCTAGTGTTTAACCCACGTTCTCCCTGTGAAAGCTTTCAGACCGTTGTGACTGGTGTTTTGGGACACCACACTCTGCTCAGAGAAACTTCTGATGGTCTTTGGGTTGCCATCAGCTACCACCCAATGCTGGAGGTAGCATCTGCCCTTTTGTCATACACCGATCACCAGAGATTAACAGAGTGAGCCAGATATCTGCAATGCTGCTGGGAATCTGCTCAGGACCTTAGAGAAACAGGGCTTGAGGAATGTCGCTTCATCTGCAAATAATTTCAATCACTGCAAATAGCTGGAAAGACTTTGGGAATTCATGGGTGGATGGGTCAGTGCTATTGGCTTTTCATAGTTCAAGAAACCAAAATAAAAGTTTGGTCAATGTATTCTCCCACTTCAGAGGGAGAGCATAAAAGTATGAAATATGCCTTTACCATCAACAATTCAGATGAATAGGTTTTTTTCACCTGATGCCAGAGACCCTACTTCGAGGTATTTTTGACATGCCATCAAAATATTGCAGGGCCAGAAAATGATGTAGGCAAATAATTTTTTGTGCGTGTGCCTTTTCCCAATGTGCAAATATAGTTATGACTGAAACTAATCTGACTTCAGCTGTGCACTCCTGCTGACACATTAAATGATTAATGATTTGTTAAGACCGTGTTTAAAAGGGGTAAGAGAAAAGTACACTAAATGTGATATAAAATTTTTTGCCAGCTGTGCTGAAATGAGTGCTGCAAATGGAAAATCCTGCCTTTTGTCACTGAAGGGAAAAGAGAAGGGAGGGCAGAGGACATTAAGGAAGGACGACTGTCCATAAGTTGGTCCCCATGAACATTCACACTGCTGGTCTCTCATCCCACTTTTGTCAGCTATTGCATGCCTTTGTAAGAACCCGTGCTTTGTATCTCTCTTTCTCAGCGGGCTCCCAGTTTATCCTGCAGGCACGGTACTGCTGGAGAAGAGGTGACTTGATTAATTTCCAGAAAGTAAACACAAAGCCTGAGAAAGCCAAATGTGTTTTGGTTGGCTTGAGCATCTGAGGGGGCCACCATTGCGGACTGTCCACTGGCCGACTGCTGTTTACACTCGCAGCGTGGTTACACTTTTATATTTGCCTTTGCTCAGTGCGCTTTTCTAGTGGTTTTTATGGGCGATTGAGGGTAAATGAAAGGGCCTTATATGTTGTGAAGAAAGAAGCTGAGTATACGACAGTGCTACTTGGAAAGGCTATAATCAGTCTTTCATGTATTCATGTTTACCCAATATTACTTGGAAATGCTGTGTATATTCTGAACGTGAATTTCACTTAAATCCTTTGTTCTGCATAGGACATTTCTCATTTGGACTTGTTTAAGAGGATGTTCTGTCTTTAGTACTGTAGGTAAACTTTTCTCTTTTCCTTTGGTGCCTGTGTGGAGCGTCACAGGCGACATGCGGTGCTAATTTGTGGATAAGTAGATAGAACTTGTTCTTGCCCATCAACTTCCAAACACCACCTTGTGAAAAACCTTTCTCCCAGCTCCGTATCTGAGCTATTTCAGTGATCTAATGTGGCAAGAGGAGCTAATATATTCCAGGAAAGGGAGATATTTATCTACTACAAGGTGAACTTTAGTTGGTGGAGGCTGTTAATAAGAAAGCAATAACACAGTGAGTCCCATGACTTATCTGGAGATCAAAAGAATTATAAACATATGGTATAAAGGTAAAGTGAAGAAATGAAGAAACAAACAGTTTTGATGCTGGGCTTGTATAATTAATTGAAAGTTAACACAAGTATTCAGTGTTAATGGAAAATGAGCACTGTACATCTTCCTGATGAGGTCTGTCAAATATAGAATTACCTTAACCCCTCTAACAGCTTTATGACTGACACTTTCACTGGGTGTTTGGACTTCATAACAGCAGTCATGGCAGTGGATGGGTTCCAAGACCAAAACAAATTCTTTGTTAATGAACCCAGAGTAAAAAGGACATAATAGTTCCTAAGACACTTTGACCTTTTAAGATGGCTTAGTCAGATGGCTTTCAGCAGTGATGAAAGGCAGAAACCTTTCCTCTTGCAGAGGCCTCAAAGGCAGCTGGATAAAACAGAATTGTTCTCAGTACAGATTGCTGGAAGGAAAATTGTTAGTTTTCACGTGTAAGGTATGCATCCTTCCTCTAAGCTTGTAGGGTGGTGACTTCCCTTGTCAGGATGGGATAGTATTTCTGTTGGGGTTATCAAAGCATATCCAAGATTCTGCCAGTACGTGTCAGTCCTAGAATCTCATGCCACTTCTTTTAAAAGTAGTAAATTGCCGGTATTGTAAAAAGTCTAAGCTGGGGAGAAAAATGAGCAAGTAACCTGACCACTACAATTCACATGCCTGGGGTTAAATTTACAAACTAATTAGGCTGAGTAAGTAGTCTACTTGTGGGATATATTCTTATTAAATCTGAACCTACAAATTGTAGTACAGTGTTGTGTATGACATGCATGTATTTTACATATACAGTGTATACTGTACTTTGAAAGGCCATTACAAATTTGCAGGAGTAATAAAGAGAGTCCATGTGCTAAATCACTTGGAATCACACATACCCAAAGGCTTCTCAATCTCTGCTTGAGAAGGAGACTGAGCACAGGAGTGCACTGCCCCTCTGGCTTCAGTACTCTTCCTAGATACTGCTTTGAATATTGACATAAAGAATTCTTGCAAGCATAGCTGGGAACGTCTGAAATATCTTTTTTTTTTTTTTTTTTTTTTTTTCTCATATGCTTATTGCTATGAAATAATTCCAGCCTCCTGACCACATTTACGTCTGAGAAGCAAGAGGCAAATAACTGCTCTAATTTAAATGGGATGGCTTTGTAATCTGACGCCTGCAGAAATGAGCTTCTCTACTCATCAAGTACAAAGCCATGCAAAGATGTAGCTCATTCCCAATTGCCTGTTGAGTATCTTTTGTCCGAGTTCATTTATTTTATCCATAGGCATCAAAGGAAGATATAATGCATATGTTCACATCAATTTCCATTTAATAGCCTATTGCTCATAACATCTCTGCATTAAATTAGGAGATTTGGAACACCGCTGCCTTTGAGGCTGCAGGGAATAATGCTCTGCTAGAAAGTCTGAAGCACTAGAAGTGCATAACGTCTTGGGAGAGTTTCTGTGGCTTCTACATTGGATGGGAAGGTGGATTGTGGCTGGTCATTGCCTAGTGCAGAAAGTGGGAGACCACAAAAAGCTGTGTGTCTAGGCACAGTTGCAATAGTCTGCTTGAACAGACGTTTGGAAATGTGTGTGTGATGGGTCAGATTCCATATACCTTCAAGGAGCTGGAGGCCCGAGTCGAAAAATGGTTTTATTCCCTCTGTCAGAGCTGTGTCTTCACAGGGTTTTGCAGACTGACATGAATTTGCTTGGCCACTGGTCAGTTCAAAGCCAAGCTGATGAGCTCAGAGCAGCTCTGGGATATTGTTGGAATCTGGGTTGTTGAGCATGCTTAATGATAAGATGTTCTTGGAGGTCTGGGCTGTTAGCTCAGTTAGATGAGCTCATGTTTGCCTTTCGAAGACAGGGTAGACGCACCAAGTTCCAGGAGACACTGCGTTTTCCTGTCGTCTTAGCCAGGGACATGCGGTCCCTCCCCATCCCAGTTATAACTGCCCGAGACTACGTTCAGATACTTACTAGGAATGAGCACTTGATGTTTTTTAAACATGTTTGAGAGCCTAAATACCCTCCAGTCCTCCAAACGGGCTCTGACAGGTCCTTTGATATGTTTAAGATCAGAAGTTTCTTGTCTTCTGGAGAAGACAGGACTTGGAAAGACCAGCTGGTTGTGATGGTAAATGTCCAAAGAGGACATAATCTTGCGCTGGCACGTGAATGGGCTGGAGACACATTACAAGACCTCTGTTCTCTTTGGTTTTATTTGTAGGAATGTGCGGTAATATTTTAATCCCAACAAATTATCCTCTAAGGACTGTTCTGAATAGACCAGCTGTCAGTAATTACACAATGAATTCAGGGCACTGTCTGCTGGGTCCAGCAAGTCTGGACTTTAAAACAAATACACTCCTGGGCAGTGGAGCCAATGAAGCCTGCTTTCCTATTTGCCTTTGCATCGTGTTTGAGCTCTCGCTTGGCTTACAGCTGGGTGATACTCAGTGAGAACTGACCTCACACCAACATCCTTCCCACAATGGGAATGTAAATAGGATTTGTCACTCCTAACCTGATGCCTGTTTCAGTGAGGGTGATATTAGCTTAACAGCTCCGTGACTTTCCCACCTCTGTTAAATTTGACTGGATCCATTGGTAGACCGAGCTGCTAGTCTGGAAGGAGACAAGGAGATGGGACTGGGAGACTCAGACCCACACCCTTTGATTAAGAGGTTGGGCCAAAAATCTCCAGCTGTGTTGGTAGTGGAGGACAGGAACACATCCACTGCTGGAGCTTCCCTTGATGCGAAAGCCTGGAAATGTCCTGACAGGAAGGACAATGGATGGAAAATCGTGATGAACTACATCAGAGCACTGACTGCATGTTAGAATTCTTGCAGATCCCAGATATAGGTGTCATGAGGAAGTGCTGGGATCTCCATTATTGATGTTTTTATTTTATTGTTTTTTTTTTGTTTTTGTTTTTGTTTGTTTGTTTGTTTGTTTGTTTGTTTTTTAACAGATTAGAAAAACACCTACCAAAAAAATCTTGTGTTTTAGGGTGGATAGTCTCGATGGGTTCTTAAGGTCCTGCCAGGTGTATTTTCTGCTGACCTATTCAACGCATCTCTTAAGAACCATGGCATCAAGGAGGAAAAATAATAGACCTTTTAGTACCCTGCATTTCCATGGCAGTGGGACATCTTGAGAAACTTACTTTTAGGTTAGGGCACATCACTGAGATGTGCTGTCCTCAGGAGGACAGGTCAGACACCAGGGATGAGCTGCAATTTAGTTTTTCTCCACTAACTGATGTTGGTTGAGTCTGTTGATCTAATAAGCTTGAGATGATGAAATGATCTGTTCTCTTCTCTTCCCACACCCTGAAGACCTGGGATGATGAGCTGGAAAGATCAGCCCACGCATGGGCTCAGCAGTGCATCTGGGACCATGGGCCTAGTGACCTCATCAGGTCAATTGGACAGAACTTGGCGGTTCACTGGGGCAGGTAAGAGTTGAGGTGCTACAAGCGCATTGCAAAGAGCAATTTACAGATCCTCCTTTAGAACCAGTTGGAAAGATTTCCCTTGTTGATGCTTAGCAGAGCACTGGGGAGATGAGAGAAAAGCTGAATTGCTATTGCTTTGGTGAAATGGCTATAGGGAGAACATCTGCAGCCACCTTCTGCTGACTGTTCCCAGCAAACCAACATTGACGTGGGTTACTCCATTTATCTGTATCTCTGGGTAATGCAGCTGTAATGTGCTTAAGGTCACTCTTACACCTTAACGAGAACAGCCACAGAAATTATAAATGTGGCTCTTAAATCTGCTGTTTCAGGGTGGTTTCTGGCACCGTGCTGGGAATCAGCTGAAAGCTGAAGGTTCTCAGGAACAATGTCTGGACTCAACTGCTAGTTCAGAACTTAATTATCTCTTGCTGTATTTCTTATAAATATTTATCCAACTCTTAATTTCTGTTTACTGAAAACACTTTGCATATTTTTTTTCAACTTCCTGGGGAAAGCTTTCAACCTAGAGTTGTTAACCCAGCTAGGAAATCAGACATTAAGGCTTCCAAATGGATTTGCCTCTCCATCTCATGGTGAAATTTGTTTATTGTTAAGCCCGTTATAAGTTAAGCCTTCTTTGTACAGCAAACATTTTGTACGTGCTTAGGAGCCCTGCTGGGTGGAAATACAGTTATGTTTGTTGTAAATCAGGTAGAACTTGGTTGAACACAATGGAAATTTGCTGGTGTGAAATTACATGATATAAAAATCGAGTCAATTTTTGTTGGCAGATTTAAATAATGATTGGAAAGTAGAGTGGTTAATCCATTGGAAACAAAAGATCGTGCTGTTCTTGGCTCTCCTACAAGTGTTCAAGATGGCCATGGGTTACTGATGGAGGTAGATCCAATCTTGCTCCCTTTGCAGTCACTGAGAGGAAAAAGAAATCAGATTTATCTCAGTTTTTTCAGGAACGGGCCATGACTTGATTGCCTCAATTTCCTCTCCTGTAAAATAGGATTCGGAAAGTATTCACTTAATGACATCATGAGATTAATGTTTCTAAAATACTTCTAATGAATGATTTTTAATGAAGAGTTGGCTGAAAGAACAAACTCCAGTTGGTAATGATATCATTTGTATTTCTGGCTGCTTGCTTCATGTGAGCTGTTGAAAGCAATAAAAAGTAGTGGGTTTGAAGCGCTGCTCTGCTTTGATACAGAATTTGCAGATCGCACTGTTTGCTCGTTGTGTACCTAGCATGCAAAATGCATATGAGTTTCTATAGGTAGTTTCAACACTCTTTGTGTTCCCCCAGACAGCACAAGCAGCATCAGGGCTGCCACAAACTGCAATATCTGGTGCACAGTTTGCACAAAGTACATAGAGTGTATGTGGGGGCTTGGTGCAGAGGGAAATTGCTGCAATAAAAGGTGGGGTATGTGTGTAGTGCATGGACTATTCTGCACCAACTCTTGGTGTGATGTGAGTGTGAAAAAGCCCACTCCCTTTCAAAGGTCTTACAGTATTAACTGCTAGTGTACTTCCACATTTAGAAAATTGTCTGGTGGTAAAATAGGTACATGATGGCTTTTGGTTTAAGATGTTTGGCAAACCTTAATGTCTGTTTACTTTCAAAATACAACTTTCCATCAAACTAGAAGTTTTTTTTTGTAGTTGTGTGGAAAAGTCAGGAGGACATTTCAGGTCAGCAGCACTTAAAGGGCATGTCAAACCTATAAATAATACAACAAGTCAGACCGGGCTGTTGAATCTTAAGGAAAAAATCATCTTTAACATTTTCAGTGAGATGATTTTTTTTTTACTTTTCGTTAGACCATGTTACTGGGTTATATGCAACACCTTCTCAATGAACAGGATTTACTTTAAGAAATTTTTATATAAAAATTAGCAATATTTGTATTAAAAAATCTGAGCTTACAATATGGCAGGAGGCTACAGATATTGTTTGGAAACAACTTTGTGATTTAAACTGTCTTTGCTCCTTCAGGTATCGGTCTCCAGCTTTCCATGTCCAGTCTTGGTATGATGAAGTTAAAGATTACACATACCCGTATCCTCACGAGTGCAACCCGTGGTGCCCAGAGAAATGCACTGGCTCTATGTGTACTCATTACACCCAGGTGAAGGAGATGAAAGGCTTTTGTACCTATACTCCCTGCATCCCCCCCATGTCCCAGCTGCCACTTCAACGTGTGCCCACAGTGGGGTAATTTGCTTATTTTCAATAACTGCATTGCACTTGCAGATAGTCTGGGCCACGACGAACAAGATCGGCTGTGCCGTGAACGTCTGCAAGCAGATGAACGTCTGGGGAGAAATCTGGGAGAATGCTGTCTACCTGGTCTGCAACTACTCGCCGAAGTAAGGCAGATGAGCTGGGCTCTCTCCAGCTTTCCTAAAACTGGCAGGTTGCTTAACTAGCCCAGGGTCTGGGGAAGAGATTTCAAGCAGTCTAGACTGGTGGTTGTGGCTTTAAATTTTCTCTTTAGACGGCAGCGCAGAGCTGGTTCAAGACTTCTGAGCAATGCCTGGAAAACTGAATGAGGGGCTGGGGCCAGGCCGGAGCTTTGATGTTCCTGCCATGGGAAGGAGGAGCAGGAGATGGCCAGGATGGAGCTGGCGTGGCTGCCAGGCCAGGCTTGCTTGCTCTCTGCTCCTTGGAGGGTGGGAGGGGATGGGATGGTGATTAATGCTGCTCAGCGCCGCTCCTGCAGCAGCCTCTGTGCCTGGCCAGGTAAGCTGCTGTATCACAGCACGTTTTCACGCTCCCCCCTGCAAAATCTGCTGGTTCAAACACACCGCTGCTTCGCGCAAAGCCAGCCCTGCAGCAGGCGCTGGTGGAAGTGAAGCGAGCTGGGGCTCGCTGTAAGCTGCTGCGAAGAGATAAATCCCAGACCCAACGAGCAACCCGTGGCTTAAAAAAAAAAAAAAATAAAAAAAAAAAATTAAATCTTGACTGATGCAGTTAACTCAATTTCAAAATGAAAATCCAATTTATTGACTACTACATCCAGGAGAAGTTTCCTCCCTGGAAATGGCAATTAATATTTTATGCTTTAATGGCTAATAGGAGAAACATTCCCACTCCAAGTCCTTGGTGATTTAAATCTTATCAGCAAGATGAAACAGGGAAATCACTACATACAAAATGAGTGGCTTGGGGCAGCATCTGTCTTCTGGAGATCATAGGGCAGAATAGCACGGAGAGATAAGAGGTGTGGGTACAGAGCTGGCAGCTGATAGCACGAGCCAGGCAGAGCCCTACGGGTGGGTTGCCTAAGCCCCTCTCCCCTCGTTAGCTACCGAGCATGTTATGCTTGTGGTTTGGTGGGATTTAATAACCTGCTCCTCACATGGGATCGCACCGTCTCCCATGGAGCTCCTGCAGCAGGCTGGGCTATTTGCACGTCATCCATTCAGGGCTGCTGGATGGAAAAATACTCTATTTCTGCAGTTTCTGCTTAATCTTTTCGCTTTGGCATCAATGCGCATTGTCCTCATCTAGCCTTATAGGTGGAGACAGCTGAAAGAGCAATAACGAAAAGGTTTGTAGCCATGGACTGAACTCTGGCTCCTTCAACCTCCTCAGCCCCTAAAGTTTCCAGTACAGTGCCAAAAAGGGGCTTTTGTTTCTGGGTAGTTTCTTGAGAAAAATGCAGCAATCCATTGATTTACTTCTGTTTATATAAGATTGTAGTATTTATATTGGAGTTTAATATAAAAGCAATACTGCATGCCATTTGTTTAAGTAAACCCTTAAAAATGTCATCTTGGAGGTAAAATGAGGAGGAACGTTTTTCTTAAAAGGCTTTCCTAGCCTGGTTGTTTAGTCTTTGCTTAGTTGCGCTGTGCTGTGCTGGGCTGATGTTTCTGCAGCGTCAGAGGCAAAACTGGGGACTTGATGATGGCCAGGTTGGGTGAGGAGGTTGGGTGCAAAGTGCTGCTCTGATTCCCAGATGATCTGGCATGAGAGTCCCTGTATTTCTGATGATTTTCTGTTTGGAAATGGTTCTAGATGGAAAACGGAGCAGCTTTTAAATAGTAAGATCTGTGCTTCAGACTGTCCGAGGCAGGTGCCTGGGGGTGATGCAGAAAATGGTGGGAGCCTTGTGGCTCTGATGAACAAGAGATGAAGGCAAGTGTCAGGCAAAAGGAAGCAGCCGGCCAGCAGCCGCTGAGCTATCGCTGGAGAATGACGGGCAGCATGGGGATGGAAAGAGTTGGGGACAGGCCATCGTTTCCCCATTTACAGCCCCCTATCCAAGGATGAACAGATCAGAAAGCCCCGTTTTCCCCACTCCCTTCATGCCAGGCAGTCTTGGGGCCTTGGGTGAGTATTTGGGTGCCTGATGGGTGCGCGTTGCTCCTGTGCTCGCAGGGGCAACTGGATTGGAGAAGCCCCATACAAGGCCGGCCGCCCCTGCTCCGAGTGCCCGCCGAGCTACGGAGGAGGCTGCCAGAACAACCTCTGCTACAAAGGTACGTGGTGGGGGGGACTTGGGGCACCCTCCTGGGAGGGGGAAAAGGCCGTAGTGAACTTATGCCTGGAAACTTTTAATTAGAAGCAGCCGCAGCTCTATGCACCTTTCAATTAGTCATCCTTAATATTTCAACATCACAACATGTGGTAAATTGGTGGCCTGCTGCTGAAACCAAAAAGCCCCAAACTGCTTAAAATCTGGAGCTCGGATTCAGCACATTTTCCCTGGTGAAAATGAGAGCGAGCCCTTGGATGGAGGGAGGCTGCTCTGAGCTTACATGGGTTTGGCTCGGGAGCTCCAGTGGGATTTTGAGCACTGGCAGGCTGTGGGTAGGAGCGATCTTGTCCTCGCGGGGTTTGTTTGGGAAGGGAATGTTCTCCAGCGCTTAAGCAGAGGCGACGTGGGTGGGCAGAGCTTGGCCGCCTGCCCCGCTCCTTCGGGGGCCAGGGACGGAGCGTTTCCTTCTCTCCCCACCTTGGTTTTCACGGCTGCAAAATGAATGCAGCGATTCGTGTCTCTTGGAGGAGAGGAGGGGATCATGGATGGTTTTTCCTGACCCGTGGAGTTTTCTCGGAATAGAGGTCAATAGAGTGAAAAATGTTAATGCTGAACCCTTCAGTGAAGCAGTGCTACCCTCTAGCACACAGGATTTTCTGGGGTTGTACATTGGAGGGAATTTTTCTTCTCCCATCTGTTTTGCTTCTCAGAGAACTGGGCTCTTAGAAACAGGCAGGTTCCCTGTAGACTTGCCCCAAATAGAGGCTTATTTTGCTGCTACATTGCATTTATCATTTTTAGTCTGTGGGGCTTGGAGGGAGGACCCCAGGGTGCAGGTGGGCTGCAGTGGGGAGAGGATGTCCTGGTGGTACAACAAGAGGGAAAAAGCCCTCTCAGAGCCACCATCCATCATCCCTTTATTTGCATCATTCCTTGGTGCACAAGAGCAGTGTAGGTTTTGGGGTAGGACCAGCCAAGAGGAATGATTTTTTTCTGGCACTGTTTCCCAAATCCCTTTGGCTGGCTGCAACAGCAGGCAGCTTGTTCTCCGGCAGAGGTAAAGCGAGGGATAAACCCTCTGCAGGCACTGGAGCTGGGATCAAGATGTATCAGGACCTGTGCTTTACTGGAGGATAGGATGAAGCTGTGCTCGGGGGATGGTTAGGAGAAGCAAACCCAGGTGGAAGGGGAAAAATGTGTCAGCCAGCTTCCCAAATACTAAGACCTTCTTTTTGGACGTGCCCTTCAGCAAATTTGTGTCTTCCTCCAGATGGAAAGAGCTGTATGGGAAACAGAAGACAAAATATCAGCACTTTTTTTCATTAATTAGTGGGGATTATTTCAAACCTTTATTGTAAGATGCTATAAATGCCACCTTATGCACAGAGAAGCAGGAGAGGAGCAATCTCCCTTCCTGGTGCTGCACCTGCCCTGGCAACAGCCCCAGCATTTTTGGGCTTCCCTTGTCAAATTAAATCACCTCCTTCAAAATATGAACCTGTCTGCCTTCCCCATCAATATGAACATGCTGTAATTATTTTTAATCCCCTCTTCTAACAAGATTATCGTTACGAAGATCCTGTCATCACTGAGACGGATGAGACTAATGAAGTGGAGATTTCGCAGGTGGCGGAGCAAAAGCCTGTTCGGTTCTACCCTCCAGAAAGCAAACCCAGCAAGACCAAGAAAATCATCCTGGATTCCTACATGAGTAAGAAGGCCTCTTTCTTTTTCAGCTCCCATAAGTTTTAAAGTACCTCTATGGGAAAAGGTGTGGAAAGCCATGAAGAGGCTCAAAATAACTGAGAGGATGTCTGAGTGGAGGGGGAGGTAATCTGTGTGAAAATTTGCTGTTAATTATAGCAGAAGTCTGCCAGAAATGGAGAGCAAAGCTTTCAAAAAACCACTCATGCCTTCTGCATGTCAATCCGCAATAGTTATTTGTTCTTTTAAGCCATCTCAAGGAAGTATTGATGAACCAAAATTCCCATGGTCTGTAATCAATTTAGAAAATACTGGGTTTATTTCCCATTTGAAATACTCCACACTCAGCAGTTACCCCCTTTGCAGCATTTCCAGGTTTTTTAGATGGTTTCCTTTTTCTTTCTTGCCTGGGAAGATTTCTGCAGTTATTTGTGGAGCTAGTAGTACTTCCTCAGTTGTTTTCTAACCACTGTTAATTAAAAGAGACTTATTGTGAAAACAAGGTGAGGCAAGCCAGTGCATCCTTTTCAAGTTTATCTACCAGCATCTCGAGAGTCTGTAATTAAATTGAGAATGAGAGCTCTGGCTGCAGACCTCGGGCTGTAAATCAAAGCCTTCAGCTGTCAGATGTTTCTTCCTTGGAGTTATTTCCAAAGACACCTGTCTCAGGTGAAGGGCTAAAGAGGCACGAACTGCTCCGGGCTGGGCTGGGCTGGGCTGTGATAAGATTTTATCTTGCTGCACCAAAGACCTCCAAGAAAGATGCATGGTGGTTGCTCATCTCCGTAGATCCAGAGCAGGCTCTTTCTTCCTTTTTAAAATATGTATTTATTTTATTTTTTCTCCCCAGCACAAGTCATTACCTGTGAAACCAAGATGAGAGACAAATGCAGAGGCTCAACGTGCAACAGGTAGTGGTTTATTGATACTTCCTGGAGCAGTGTGGGAAAAAGTGGCCTAAAAATTGTCCAATTCTTGCAAACATAAGATAGGCTGTACTATATATTTTTTTGTGACTATACAGGTAGATTTCATTTTAAAAATCCTTAGTTTCACTTAATACAAAGCCATCAGCCAAGCCTAGCAATAAGGTGACTCAGTTTATTTTACTCAGCCATGATGACCCAGAGTTTCAGGTGTCCAAAGTAATTTAATAAATTTTGGCAGAGTAATTTTTAAGCCTTTTTCATGCATTCCACCAGTGTGCAAACTAGACCAATAATTAATGGCTTGTCCCTTCCCAGCCAGTCAAGAACTTCTGGTTAAGATTTCTGCAAAGAACGGGACAGTTTATCGCTTGGAGAAACCCCAAATCCACAGAATCTAAATATTGGTCAGGCTTTTAAGGAGGGTGGAGAAACTGTTTTAAAAAGTAGCTATTTTGCAATCTTGTTTTTAAATGGAAGAGTTACGTGAAGTGAATGGAATGACTATTAAATGAAATAGAGTCAAAGTCTGTTTTTCTTGAATTGTTTTTTCACCACCCTCAAAGATGTATATCTTTACTAGGTATTTGTGCCCAGCTGGCTGCTTGTACAGTAAGGGAAAAATCTTTGGAACATTTTATTATGAGAGTGTAAGTACCTTTTAATAGCTCATAGATGTAATTTGTGGGGAGTTAGTGGTAATAACAGAAATGGGAAATGCCAGCAAATCTAGTGTAATTTGGTTTTTCGTATTCTCCAGTTGTGGTGTTATAAGATGGTGCTAATAAAGATTATCTGTATTTTCCTCATCTTAGTGATGAAAAAAAGTGAGAAATCTGGAAAGGCAAAGTGATTCCAGACGTGATTTTTACCATGAATGCCCTTAATCTGCAAAGAAACCATGGAAATTGAGGGATGGGGTTCAACAGACAGCTCTTACAAAGATCTCCTCTTTAGCGTGGGCAGCTGTCATGCTGAACAGAAACTTTATATGAAAAACACTGTCAAATGCTGAAACTAAATAATATTTTGGGCTGACTTACTGGATCTTGAATTAGCAAGATAGTTTATAAATAAAGCCTGGCACTATTTTCTCATCAAAACTACTTTTGGGGTGAAGAAAGGTTGAAAATAAAAGGGTTTTTGTGTAAAAACATATTTGCTTTCCCCATTCTCACTGTTTGTGCATGACTGTATTGCCCATGATACATCTTTGCCCTGCAACTTCTGTGATTGCAGACAGCTGCCTCTTCCAAGTGGTTTCAGCAGAAATATTTTGGGTTTGAATATTTTGTTGAGAACTGGAAATATTTCATACTGGTTGTTAATTTTCAATGATGCTTTTCTTCTAAATTGTATCTAAATGTACGGTTTTGTTATTTAAAAAAAAGTTTGCCCATCAACCAGGCTGTGCTTAAAATAATAATAATAATAATAATAATAATAATAATAATAATAATAATAATAATAATAATAATAATAATAATAATAATAATAATAATAATGCCATGTTGGGCGAATAAGATTTAACAACCAGATTCCAAAGGAGTGTACTCAGCTTATTTTCCACTTGGCGCTTTGGTGGTGGTTTCATTTCTTCTTCATTTTTTTTGCACAGCGGTTTGTCAGTGTTGCTCTGTGAATGAGATTTATTTCACGTACTATTTGTATTTGTGCTCTTGTCAGTCATCGAGCATATGTCGTGCTGCAATTCACTACGGCATCCTGGACAATAAAGGAGGACTGGTTGATATCACAAGGAAGGGGAGGACACCGGCTTTTGTGAAGTCTACCAGGAATGGTGTGGAGTCTTTTAGGTACTACTATCATGAAAGTTTTTATATTTGCTTTAAATGTAAGAAGATGTTCAGTCATCTTTGTTACTCATATGTAGACATAGTGATTCAAGTAATTCTAGTATGCTTATTTTTTTAATAAATGCTTTTGTTTGCTTGTTTTGCAGGAAAAGTAAACCTTCAAATGCATTCATGGTTTCCAAAGTCACAAGTAAGTTTTAAAAGTTGAGAAGAAATCACTGTTGCTAGAGTTTTATGGGACACTTGAAAACATTGTTCCTTACAGCGTTCTTTTTCATTTTAAGTGGTCATGTCAATCGGTTTAGTACCACAACTAAACCCTACAGTGGTAATCCATCACCCACTATGGGCAGTTCCTCCATCAACCACCTCATTTTTCTGTGGAGATCTAAGAGGAAAGTACAGAAAATGGTGATAATGGGCCATTTCCAGCAGCATCTCTGGGTGGTGGGTTATGGTTGAGTCCAAACATCAGTGCAGTGTTGCAAGCTGGTGACAATTAAGTGGTGGAAAATGAGCCATCCTTGTGTGAAAGCCTCAGCCTGGTGTGAGTACTATATTAAAAAATAATAGTACCTAATATCATAGTGCAATAGTATAATGAAGCACATAATACATATGAAATTAGTTTATAGCAGTAAGTCGTCATATTTACGATGAGCATATAGATAAATACTGTGGAGTTCTACTTTTCAGAGAATCCCCACTTTCTGAATATCTTTGAATAAGTCCTCCTTCTCCTACATATAATCATTAGTTTGATTAGACCCACTTGAGCCATTTTTAGGGAAAACTATAAGTGTCAAGTCATTTGGACTCCATGCCTGGAGATGTAGCAAAAATACACAGTCTTGTGGATCAGCTGCTTTTCTCTTCTGAAATCTGTGACCTTTTTAAGGCCACACTGTAGCACGGTAGCAGGATTTCTGTTGGAGAGTGGGTCAGCCCTCTCCTGGGTGCATGCTGCCAGTAAAGGAGCGAGCAGGTTTCCTCCTGGTGCCCTCATCTGGACGTGGGGCTGGCCAGCTGCCTTGCGTGACTGTGACTTGGGTTTTCAGCAGCTGCCTGAGCTATTAGCTCCAGTAATTTGCCTTTCCATATTTATCTCCGCAGCACAGACGCTGGATTGCTATACTACAGTAGCTGAGCTGTGCCAGTTCAAAAAGCCGGTGACCCACTGCCCAAGGTAACACGAGCTGACTTATGTTCAGCTTAAACCCGCTCTGCTCTGAGGAGGGACAGCTGAACGGAGGATGCTGAGGTCCCCAAATGTGAGGGCTAGTGGGAATGGAGCTGATTTTACTAGATGAGCTGGAAGGGAGGGGGTCAGGAACGGCGTGTTTCCTCCAGCCACTGTGCTTTTCTTGGCATTGCGATAGAAAATTCATGTTAAATTTTCAGACCACTTCAATAACATCTAAGTCAGGCTATGCGATCCCGTTTCAGCACAGCCCTACGTGTGAGCGTGCACCTTTGCACTGTCTTTATTCTTCTGCACTTGCTGTTTTTTTGCAAGTGGATTTCCTTTCCACCTTAAAATATGGAAGAAATTTGTTCTAGAAAATTGCTTTGTGCAGGTGTAAGTCGTGTCAGGGCAGGGGGGCACAAACATGTGCAAATAATTGCATGCACAGCATTGAGAAAAAATACAGGTACTACCCTTTGAAAATGTCATAAAAGACCAGTCCTCCTTGTACTGGTCTAAATCCCTCTATTTGTAGTTCTGCAGTAACTATCAAATGTCATCTGAGGGGAACAAATAAATAAATTCCCTGTTGCCACCTGCAGACCAGATGCAGGCACTTGAAATCTCCCAAGAATGCAGCTTGCTTTCCTGTTGAGCCTTGATACAGAGAATAAATATGAATAAATTGTTTTCCAGGATTTATTGCCCAGCCCACTGTAAAGATGAGCCATCGTACTGGGCACCGGTGTTTGGCACAAACGTTTATGCAGATGTGAGTATGTTCCTTTCCTTGGTGACCCCGTGTTTCACGACGTCTGTGTCCCAGAGCTGGGACCACACGCTGTGATTTAGGGAAAGCAGACAAGTCTCAATGAACGTCGCAATGTGGGGATGGGGTAAATGTGGATGGAGGAAGAAGTAGCACCAACAGCTACAGCATCAAGTTGAGGTCGATGGGTTTGGGGAGCCCTTTCACTCTCTGGCACTGACTTATTCTTATGGACTTGGGCAGGTCACTTAACCCTTAAGGCACAGAGCAGTTATGGTTGTGAAATGATGGTAGCCCTTACCTGTCATTGCAAAGTGTTCTGGGATCTACAGACGAGCATCAAGGGGCTTTTCTTATATACTGTCACACTAGATATTTGACAAAAATAGGCCTTCTTGCCTCCTCCCCTGTTATCTTCTTTCTGGGAGCTGAACAGTGTTTTTGAGCAGTTGGGATGCAGCACAGAGTGGTGGAAAGAAAGCATGTGAGTTGGTTTTATTGGTTTGTTTTTCTAAACTCTGCTCCTGGGGATGACCAGAGACTTGATGCTAAAACTAGGCAAAGAGTCATTTTTTTGAAATCTCTTAATATTAGGCCTCCAAAATCTGGATTTCAACGTTTTTCCATTTGCGGGTGCCTCTCTTTTTTCTTTTTTCTTTTTTTTTTTTTTTCCCCCCCCATTGTAGATTATGTTTAGAAATGCCAGCTCCCTGGCTGGTGTGTACACTGTAGAAATGTGTTTTTGAAGGCCTGGGGGAAATAGTCAGCAGATTATGGACCCAAATCTTAGGGTCACCGTGGAGCTTTGCAGACTTCTGAGAAAAAACATCCTGTGGCAACGATACAACAATCTGGGGCAAGTAATTCTGAAAGCAATTTAAAACCCCCTTATTTTTTATTTTACTTGAGACTGATTTTTTTAAAGGTAGAGCTGCACAAACAGGTTAACCTAAACTAGCTCACGCAAATTTGTTGGGCAGCTGCCACCCCACAGTACCTGCCTCTGTGCATCCTCTGACCTGCAGGAAATGGGAATTAAACTTCTCTTTTTTACCAAGGGCAAGACTACCTCAGATTACCCCCAAACAGGGCCTGAGATTACAAGGGAATTAGGCAAGGACCAGCATCCTGGGCTGGCATTGTGTCCTGATTTGTACGAATACAAAAGGATTAGTGTCCTTTAATGAATTGCAAGTTCCATTTCCTACTGTACCCCCTGGGTATTGTTTCATAAATGGAGGCATGGACAGTGATTTTAGAGAGAAATAAAATTAAAAAAAAAAAAAAAAAGAAAGAAAAAGAAAAGCATTTGGCCACTTCCTAGAGGATTTCGTTAACCTTTTTGTAGACTACTGTACTGGTAGGGTGATGTGGGTGTAATAAGAAAAGCAATTAGATTTTTACTAGAGTGTGAGATTGGTAGAGAAACAGGTGAAACCAGGTGGGAAAACAGAGTTTGAGGTGGCCATGAAACATGCTGGAAAGGCAGAGGGGTTGCTGTTGAGAAATGCTCAGGCTGGAAAGCTGACAAGAGAAACACGCATGCTGAGCAGGGAGAATTTGGGAAAAGTCTTTTCCAGGGAGCATGGGCTGTGCAGGATGCTGTCCAGGAGGGGATGCCGTGAATTAACACAAGCCCACGGGCAACGAATAATTAAAGCAGGCAATAAATTGGATGAGACAAGTGCTAGTCTTCTGGGAGGGCTCTTTGGCCTCGTGTCTAGAGTGGCACCTTCATGGCCCTTGGGGGCACTTGTGCTCCAGCTGCATCTTCTTAAATGAGTTATCTAAAAGAAAATGAAACGTTTTGCCCCATTTCCAGTCTGCACTCTCTGCAAGGTGCCCTCTGACCTTTTAGCACCTTCTCCAAAACATCCATTTGCTAAATGCTCTGGCAGGTAAGGAGTTGATAGTCCAAGCTGTGATGACAAAATGCCTGGCTAGGCTGTGTAATGATCTGAGTCACTGTGCTTTTAGCCCGAGATAGCGTTCATGTTTACATGATCCCAGTCAGACTGTGGAACAGGGACATAAAAGACCCTTGCATTTTGGAGTAAATGAACAAAATGCAAGAAAATATGCTCTGGGAAAAGTTGATGCCCAAATCCCCGGTCTGAATGGCATTACCATTCGGTGAAAAACTTACTGCCTGCATGCAGGGTTTGCAGATTGAGGCGGCACGTGGGGACACGGGAGGAATATATCCAACATTCTCCCAGTGCTGAAATTAGTAGCAAGAAGCAGCTGGCTGGGGAACAGAAAATATGTTGCCTCTTTTCCCTGGTGGCACATTACATGGCAGCATAAAGAGCTTTGCTGCAAGTGAGGGAGGGTGGAAATAAAATAAAATTCTACGAACACATGATTGTGCCTAGGAAATAAAACTCAGCTCTTGCTAATGTGAACAGGACCAATTCTGGGGTGATGCTCGAGCTCTGTGAACACCCAGGGGTCTTTATCGAGGCTGTAAAAGAGCTTCTAAGTTTCGCAAAGGACTGCTATTTGTCACTCTGCCTGGCTCCTAGTGTGACATAAGATTGCAAGGGAAACCTGTCCCCATCCCTGCTCAGAACCTGGGAGAGAAAACGACTCTCTGCTCTTGAGATAAGGTCTTTTATTCACAGTTGTGTGGCAATTAGTTGGAGAAGGATAGATCCACCTACATACAGAAGCAGGAATTTATCACCAGAGCCACTCAACTTGATTTGCTCTGCTCTCAGGAGATATGAACTTAATCATTAAGCCAGTCACACTAATGAGGAAATTATGTGTGATTAAACTCATAGTCATGGACTATTGTTAAAGTCACACTATAAAAAGTATTTCCATTTTACACTGTATGCCTTGGAGTCTGCTTTGTCAGGAAATGTTCTCAAAGCATCCCAAGGGGCTATGCCATGGAAAGCCGTTGTGTTGTCCATACAGCTGTTATATTTCTGAATTTGAGGGGAAGGCCTTACTCTTGCAATATCTCATTTTCCAATAGCTCTGCAATCAGTTCGTCAAAGTGCAGCCCAGCCTGGGATATAAAGGGGCTGTAATTCAGCAGGGTGATAAGAAGAGGTTTAGGGTAAGGCAATAAAAAGCCTCTTGGTCAAAGCTTTGAGTAAGCAGTAGAACAGCAAGTCCTGGAAAAAAAAGCAAGAACGCCTCGAAAAGAACATTGTTTAGGATGTCTCCCAGTGGAGAACATTGTAAATTGATTCAGGACAGTTTAATTTTATGAGCCAATTTTAGATTTACAGATTTCCCACCACATACTAGGGTGAATTCACAGCATATCTTCCAAACACAGCGTTCCCTTGCTCCCTTGACCATATATAGAAGCAAAATACCAAAGTGGCACTCAAAACTCAGAGAGCTGCCAAGAGATAGGCCATCCAAAGTGATAAATATATAGGAGACAAGGCAAACCTCCCATATATGGCTGCAAGAATGAAACAGCATGATCCGTATTGTACGTACGCAACGGGAACATTTGCCCTTGGCACTGGTTTTGTGGTACTTTGATTTTTAGTGATCAGGGATTTTATGGGGTTGGGATTTTCACCTGCTGCAGTTCCCTGTGCAAAGCTGGTTTTTGCTTTTTGTTGTTCCAGCTTGCTGTATGTAAATCCTCTAGAGAGTTGATGGCCAAGTTTATGTTATGCCTATGCCGTCTCTGCTTTTGCTCTCTTTTCTGGATGCTCTGGGAGCTTAGTCATCAGTTGTTAGTGTTTTGTGTTCCTCCAGCTCTTCTGACTCTGCACATCTTGGAGAGCAGGGTAACAGCACAATGTGCAATAGGGAAACTTCAGTCTTTTCAGAAGTGCTAATCTCCCTCCATACTTAATGTTGTCTTATGGGGTAATGCCTGTTGAAAAACTACACCTCTCAGTGCATGCAGTCCTTCTGTTTTTCCTAGAAAGAAGGGCGTGCACTGTCCTGCATAGTTGGTGATCATTTATCTTAATTCAGGAAAAGTGTCTGCTTTTCAAGCAACTGGGTGAATAAACTTTGCTGAGGTGGCTGGTTGCTAGCAAAGAGTTTCACTGCAGCAGTTTCTCTGGTACAGACCCAAGAGGTACTGGCTGGAAAGTTGTCCTTGATTCAGTTTGGCCCTGGATATCTCCCGGTCGCAGCTCCACCACAGATGGGAGTGGTGGAAAGGCTGTTTGTCCTCTGCAGTGATGATGAATCTTCTTACTTATGACATACCTACAAGATCTGGACCATGGCATCTTTTATCCCTAGTCTGTCCATAAAAGGGGCTGAATTATTTCATAGCTTTTTCATTCTTATTTTTTTTTATTCCTTGGATTTCCTTGATGCTTATGGAGAAGGTAAATCTCCAGGTATAAAATATAGACAGTTTGTAAGTCGAAATAATGAAATATTTTTCAGAGTTCCAGTATCTGCAAAACTGCAGTGCACGCAGGAGTCATTCCAGATGAAAGTGGTGGTTTTGTGGATGTGATGCCTGTAGAAAAGAAGAAAAGTTATGTTGGCTCCTTAAGAAATGGAGTTCAGTCTGAGAGGTGGGATTTTTTTCTTTGTTCTTTTCTCTTATTCTTGACTGTGTGTTTTGCTATATGTCAAAGTCAGCAGATATCAGCCAGAAAGGCTGGTGGATTGGAAATATGTGACTTAACAGTGTCACTGTGAATTTTGAGACCCAAACAAATAGAGCGTGTTGTCCTGCTCTTACCTTCCACAAGTGAAGAGCTGCTTTCAAATTGGTGTGGAAGGTATGAAATACTGTTAAGCCTTGTTTTATTTTAGTACAGTGTGAGTCCATATTAATATGTTTTGTTGTGTGTTTAACACATTAAAAGATGAGCATGGGTATTTCTGCAGCTTTCAGCCTGGGTCGTGCTTTGAGGCTTATAATTGAGATTTCTGTTCAGTTCTGGGGTGTGGGATGGATTTGTACTTGTTAACTAATTTCATCTCTTCTCTTTGAAAGAAGCATGAGTAAATTAATCTCTTGAGAGACAATCAAACAATTTTTGAAGATGGATTTGCCGGCCTTGTAAATTTTTGTAGTTTCTTTTTGGCTAACCTTGCTGGTTTCAGTGAGCAATTACAAACCAGTGCTTCCAAAATCCTGCACCTCTAGATGATCACAACGACCAAGTGGCAGCTCATTCAGTCTTTTCTAATTTGAAACTTTTTTTTCACTCTGTGATGTACTTTTTCAGATATTGGTGTGATGGTACTGATTTCTCAGAGCTATCTTTGTAAACATACATTTCCCACTATTGTGGGGCTTTTTGGTCACTATTAACATGGCTCTGTCTGGTCTATGTAGTTCCCCTTTTATAATTACCATGAGAAATCTAAACAAGTTTGCTGGTTTTATTCTAATAATAGGTATGCCAGAATGCTGTAGAGAATCTCAGAAAATAAAAATAGACTAAGGCAGGAAAGCTATAGGCATTAAATATGGACTTCTTTAGTATAGATCTATAGGGGTCAGCATTTTGCAGTTCTGTGATTTGCAATTTGGTAGATTGGGTTTAGGTGACAGACCTCCTGTTCATATGAATTTTCTTCTATCTCTGTCTTGCTTTCACTTTCCTTTTATACTAACAGCCAACTTTTTACTTGGATGGCAAACTCTGCCCTAGCTAAGAATAAACTCTCCCTCTAGCAGTGACATGCAATATGAGCACCAGGTGCTGTTCTAAGGGGTGAGGGAAACCAAAGACGTTCTCGCAAGCAGGGATGAGCATGAAGATTTAGCAAGTGTTATTTACACTCAGCAATCAGGAGCACCTTCATGCTGAGAGATCCACTGGGCAGCGAAATAACTTTTCAAAGATCAAGGTGAAAACCTTACCCTTTAGGATACTGTAAATAACCTTTGGTAAAGATACATACCCAAAGAGGTTTGAAGAAAGATTGCCTATAAGTTTTGCTGAGTCTTTACCCTTGCTGGAAAGTTTATTTTGCAGGAATATGACATTTTGTCCTTTTCCTGGGGTTTTGCAGCCCAGCAAGACTGAAGAATTAAGGGCTGGGGACAGAAACAACCCCTTGCCCCCATGCACACTGCCATCCCCAGCAGCTCGGAGTCAGAGCAGTTGGGGACACTTCTGCAAACTGAAAATGAATATCCATATTTATTGTCATTTAACGTGAGCTGATCCGGCTGCTCCTGTTGCCAGCACCAGGAGATGGGCCAGACAGGCCCTGGGAACCTGCCAGCCTACTTGACAACTGTTTTTTAGGAAAACATGTTCCTCTTCATGCCTGAATCTCTGCATAAAGGAGCACAGTGTTCCTTGCGTAAAAGCTAGCACAGCAATGGAAGCTGTTGCTTCCCAGCTCCTTCTGTTGGTATTAGCACTGTAGACTTGGATTTAAAACATAAAACAAAGGTGAACTCCTGGATTTGTGCCTCTTCTTTTTCATCCTTTATCTTTCTCCTGCTCCTGGTAGAGCCACATCAGCACAGAGCCAGCATGCTGAAGCAGTGCACTCCAAATATATGTGGAGTTGCCTGTAGGTCTATCACGGTTTGAGTCATGTTGTGCCTGCATTTGATTCATTAAATGTTTTTTTTTCTTCTTCTTTTTCTCTAGCTTGAAGAATCCTTCAGATGGAAATGCTTTCCGAATTTTTGCTGTGAAGCAGTAGATTCCTAGGGAAGGTGCAGATTTCTTTGGGAGCACGCTCTGTTGATGTCCAGAGACAGGAAGGCTCCTCTGATGGCATCAGATCTGACTGTACCTTCCTTGCCAATCTCTTTCAGGGAATTAAAAAAGAAAAGGGGAAAAAAAAAAAAAAAAAGAAAAAAAAAAAGACACCAGATTCTGACTCAGCTGTTCGCATCTCATCGCACCCGTTCAGCGTTGTATCTTTTCGTTTTGTGTTTTTGTTTCTCTAGGGGCATTCAGCAATGATAAACTGTTCTAACTTTCAATTTATGAGAGAGGTGTGCTACACAGAACGGCGGTGGCTCAGTGTACAGCAGATGTAGGGATCTCGGCCTGGCCCTGGATGGTGTTTTTTAGGGTGTGAAGCATGGGTGTGAGGATGTGCACTGCTGAGCAGACTCAGAAGTGAGCGACTGTCCAGGCACTGGACACTTTGAAATAAGAAACTGTTTTAAAAGTTACATCTTTTGGGGAGAGGCTGAACTTTGATAGAATGTTTTTGTGTATGTTTGACGTTTTCTGTGCAAAAGAAGAGAAAATTTGGTCTTTTCCCATCGAGGTGGCATGCATCAGCACTGCTGTGTAAGACTGCTGGGGCATCATGCTAGGCTATGTTGTATGCTGGTGTCACGTTTGGGGAGAGGATGTTCTTGTTGGGTGGATGTCAAGGTTTTTCGGGGACTGGAGTAGAGCGTGAAATGGTGGCAGAGATCCTTGCTGCAGAAAATGAGGCCACCAGATAATCAAAACAATAGGTTTAGTGTTTGCTGGTCAAACATTCACAGATATTTTGCAAATCTGGCAACCTATGAGAAGTCCATGAATCAGGGCTCCTGTGCTGGCACATCTCATCCTATACTACACGCCATTTCAAATAAAATTTCAGTTAAATGCAGTATATTGTTTTATACAGCAGTGCTGGTTGTTTTATCTGTAGTAGTTAAGTAGTGATAAAGTTAATCTTATTTCTGCTAGGAACGATTGCATCCGTAGGAAGCATGTTCACCTTCGTGAAGCACTTTGTGGTGTGTGCAGTTCTGAGACTTTAAAGATATGACATAAATTGGGGTAGATGAATTTTTCCTGTTCATTTTGTGATACTAATAGATCCCTGCTTCGGTGTAAATGCTGTACCCATGGGCACTTGATATCCAAGATGCTAAGTTTTGCAAAACCCAAAGATGTTGTAATGATGTTCAATATTTTGTTATTTATGTCTCAACATGCATCCAAATGAAATTCAAAGCCAAGAGAAGAGCCTAGCATGACTAGCTCTTTAAGGCAGGAGAGTATTCTCTGCTTTGTATTGGAAGTGAATTTTCAGAATTGGTCTAAACACAAATCTGTTTCTCTTTTGATGCACACACATCCATTAACTTCATTACTCATAAGAAGACAACATAAACTTTAGTTCTTCAGTTAATATAAATGCATAGTCCTTCTGCTCAATAACTTGATTGTAATACTGTATAACAAATGGGAAAATATTTCCCTCAGATTGGCAGATGTCTCATAGTAGCTCTTACGCTCAGGCTGTGTTTGGTTTAATCTAGACAGATATAAAAGCCATCTCTTCAAGCTGTTTCAAAAGACAGACCAAAACTGTTTATATGATTAAGCACTTCTTTAATTCTGTAAACACCATGAAATCAGCAAGCAAGTTACTTCTATCACTCAGTTTGTCTCACTGATGGGGTTTCTTTGTCTGTGAAATCTGAATTTGGTAAGAGATCTTTTGTAAAGCATTAAATTGGAGCTGCTTTGCATGGTCTCCAAGAGTGTTGCACAGCAAACTTACCTTTGGGGTGGATAGAGAGAAATTACTCTGTGTCGTCATTGTTTATATAGTATCATCTCCCCAGGTGTACAGTATTTGCTTTAGATAGGAGAACTGAACTATTTTTTTCTTACTAGGTAAACTGGTGTTAAAAACAGCTGGAAGAAATCTTAGTAAAGCAACTGGTTGGAAGTGCTTGAGATCTCAGCAGTGAGATAAGGCTTCCCTGTTTCTGCCCACTGTGAATAATTATGCTATACATGGTCTGGTTCAAGCCCATTAAATACTGCAGCATGAATCTATGACCATCATGGGCCAAATGGTAGCCACGGTGCTACTTATTTAATTACAAAGTGTAAGAGATTCAATTGGGTATGGAGACTACATGAGCACATAAACCACCTTGACAATAACGTAGGATCCCACCTCTAATATGCTGTCTGTGATGATTGTGTATGATGTAAAACGATGGAAGGAAATATGAGGGCTCTTGGAGAAGAGTCCAGGGGATTATTGTGAGCTCATAAAAATCCAAACAACCTGGGATGTATATACCTGACAAAAAGGGGGCAAGGAAAGAATTATTATTCCAACAGAAATATCCTAAAATGCTTAATTCAAGTTACAATTGTGTATTTTTATCTTCAGCCAACTGGTTTGGATTTTTAGAAACCGATGTTAATTTAAGTCTGTATCTGTTTATTTTTGTATTTGTTGTACAAAAGAGAAATTGTGACCTTACTACACAAATATTATTTGAGGTCCTGGGTGCTATTAATTTAAACATACCTCCACCAGAATTAGGGGTGATCAGGTCCTCCAAGGCAGTCATGATATATCAATTACTTGCAATCTTGTGTGCTAGCTATTCATATATAGGTGGGACAGTACCAGTTTTTAGTCAAATATTTACAATTTTTTTTTTCTGATACCAAAATGTTTCTCAGCCTAATATATTTCAATGCAGCTTAAAGATGCAGCACATCTTTATATCACCACATCCGTTCCTCCTTAGACCCCAGCTCAGCAGATTAGTAAGCACATGCCAGCCTGAAGCACCCGGGTGTAGCCTTACAGAAGCATCTGGTTAAACCCCTGGAAAAACCAATGCTGCCTGGTTGTTCTTTCCCAATAAATTTATTTTTGAAACCAAGACTGCCAGCGCAGAGTGCCAGTGCTGAGCCATCTGGCTCAGCATAGCCAAATCTTCAGAAAACACAACCAGCGTGAAAGCCGAAACGCGGCGCTTCCCCAGCTGCTGGTGCACTTTCAGGTCCATTGGCTCCATTAATTTCTTCATTTTCAGATGCTCAGCCAACAGCTGATTGAGGAGTCTCCAGTTGGTCGGTTGTGCAGTCTAAATATTTAGGGCCAGTTCATAGAGTTGCTTTTTTTCTATGAAAAATGATGTATTTTACTTCCTATGTATAAAAGTTTCTTGTAAATTTTGTGTGCCTTTGCATGTTTTTCAAGGGGCTGTATGTTTGTTTATAAACTATAATTTTTTTCTAAATACAGAATTGTAAAATATCTTCCCCCCCCTCCATTTTCTTTTGATTTCTGAATTATTTGTGAAATAAAACCTTCCCAGAATGAATGCTTCCCTTGTCTTTAATGCTCAGCCAGAGCTGGGGTTGTATTTAGAAGAGCTATTTGGGATTACTCCTGGGGACTAGAGAATCCCCTGGAGAGCCCAAGTGAGATCAGGTTGTGCAGAGTCTGCTCCACAAACAAAAAATAGATCTGCACAGGTCCAGAGCATTGAAAGTCAACCTTTACCCTATTAAGAATAAGATGTATCCTTTCCTGAAACATCCTGAGAGTAAGGGAAAATCAGTGTCTGTCTTTAAGTCCCTGCAATATAAGGACTGAAGTAGATTAATGGGTTGGAAAAAGTGTTTAATGAGGTAGTGGTGCAAAATACAGCTGAGATGAACTCCTCCTTGACTGACCAGGTTGTTGTTAAATTTACCCTTATTTTTTTTATGGGAAAAGTATACAGTTTCTTTTTTTTTTTTTTTTTTTTTTTTTTAAATTTCTCTTGAATTTTTCTCTAAACTCATACTTGACGACAGAACCACAAATCAAACCAAGTTGTTTCATGGTAATTCAACACCATCTTGGTTAAAGGAGCAACATGACAAGTAGGTTTACGACAGCCTCCAGGCAATGAGCACCATATGGCTTTTGACCAAAAATGTGGACTGAGCCATGGGAGGGAGTCCTGATTGACAAGAAAGCCATGAAATGTTATGTTTTCCATTACATATACAACAAGATCAACATAAAATACAGAGATGTTTGCATTACTCCAAGGCTGGTCTGATACAGTTATGGTTGAATGGTATTTACTTGTAAAACCCAAACTAAGGACTGACATGGTAACACAGTTATTGGGCTGCCAATGATTTCTACAGAAGGAAAGTTTCATGGCCATTGCATGCTCTCCAGTTACAAACTGCTCATTTGGACTTGCTTATGCCCAATTTGTGCTTGCTCTTCCCCACTCTCACTGCTGCAAAAATAACCCCCCTGCTGAAAATATTGGAGAAGATTTTCATGAGCTTAAGAGTAAGTGAAGAAGGGTGTACAGACTAATGCTCATGACCGTGCTGAGGCTGCTTAGACTGTCCTATTAGTTGCAACACTTACTTGATTTGCTATTTGCTAGTGCTACAAAATGCCTCAAAGTGCCATTGCAGAATTTAGGTCTGGGTTGGCATAAGGAGGAAAACAACATAACATCCAAAATTAAAAGCCAATATTCCCATCCTTTGTGTTAGTTCTGGCTCTGCTTTTGCCAACAGTTGTCTCCTCTTGCTTGAGCCATATGCTTTAACCTTGTGCTCCTCCACAGAAAAAATTGTGTTATCAGGAATGCTGTGTGTGACCAATGCTGCAGACAAAGCTGTGTCTTCTTTCTGTACAGCAGCTGTGCAAATCAGGTAAGTGAAGACAGAGCAAGACACAAAGAGGTAGGAGTAAATCTTTATTTTTTTTTTTTCCCCAGTGGACAATGGGATTCAGATTCATGCTTTAGTGAGGAGAACATAAAAACTGGAAGGCTGAATATAAGTCAAGTGGAAAGGAAATAGAAACCCATGTGGATCTGAGTGAGGGTAACAGTGTACAAAGGGAGCAGACTTGATAACCCTTTTTTTCTCACTTTGCTGGTAATCCTCTGGTATCAGCAGGATTCAAGGCTCTCCCTGCTTGCTGTTTCGGGAGAAATGTCTTGCTTCCTCTTGCTTTGCCTTCTGCTGCCTGCTCCTCATCCTGTGCTGAGCTCATCAGAGACTATGTATAGCATGGGCATACCTTGGGATGGGTGTTCTTCTAAAAACCCACATTCATTTATAGGATGCACCCGGGTGA